AGGATGAGCTTAAAAAATTTTAAGATACATTACAGTATATACAGTAAAGGTTAGTTTTATATGAGACTTATCTAGTCTAATAACACAGCCCGAGAAGATTTAACCCAATAACACGAATATACTTTCCCAAAGGATTTTGGTGCGCTGAAATCGAATCCGTGGTCGAAATTTCTCAATTGACTCTGGTTTTCGAGATATCCTAATCTAAAAGTGCCAAAATCGCGATTTTCTTTACATATTTGAGGTTATGTTATATGGAGAGGTAATTTTTTTTGCTGAGACAATTAAAGGGGTCTTAAAGTAGTAGACTTACTCTTTAAACGCCCCTGGATTTATTCCGATATCATTTTTCGTCTTTGAGAAATCGCATGTTGAAATTTAATAGTTGTTTCCCGATTTTTGAACATACTGACAACACAGCACTAGAAACCTAAATTCATCAGCACCCGGAAGTTGATATCTTTCATATTTCTGAATTTTGAATTTTGCTATAAACTTGAAAAAATGTCAAAAAAATTGATATATAGCTTATATTTGACGCACTTTATCAATCTGGAAATACATTTATACGCAAAAGAGGCTAATACCCTAAGCCCAAAAACCCTGTGAGTGAAATTTACCTATCCTGTAACATAACCTCAAATATGTCAAAAATATCGCGATTTTGGCACTTTTAGGTTAGAATATCACGAAAACCAGAGCCAATTAAAAAAATTGTAGTATATAAGTAACATAAATGACACAGTAAAGTACAGTCTGGTTTCTAGGTTACACAGTTTCACATTAACAATATTACTACAATTTTTACATGAATTTTTATTACAATTTGTTGCATTTTACTTTCTCACCATGTAATTCTTCGACCTTATCTTTATCTGGACATAGTAAATAAACAAAATAACGTTTGCACAACAAGGCCCATGCAAAATGACATTTAACCGAGGTTGAAAAGGAACTCAAGCCGCCCCTGATTTCGGTAATTAATCAGTTCTTACAGCACCCGTCGCTTTGGTAACACCGGATAGAACTGGTTGGTTCTCAGGTGGAGTACCTACCTTAGCAATTTTCTAATGGTGAGATACGGGTCTTATATTAGCAACAGTAACGCGAACAAGAAAATGCAACCGATCCTTGACCCAATGCAGATACGCATAAATTAATGTAACAGGTTTTCTTATGTAAAATCATTGATATCGGATAATCTGTATTTAAATAAATTTTTTATGTAAAATCATTGTCATTGATATTAGACTCACGTGGTTGGCAAGGCATTGCACTAAAAAAAAAGACACTTAATGATTGTACAATTATGAATAGAAAGATAGGCGATAATAGTTCTTTATAAATCGAATACTAAATGTAATGAATTCCGGTAACCTTAGGAAGACCAGTGGAGAGAGTATTGGAAAAAGGTCATTCATTGGTTTTATGTTTACAAACTGCATCTCCTTGTACAACGCAAGGTGTTTGGGCAACAGCAGAGTGAATGTTATATTTAAAAAATGTAAATAGTTGGATGTGGTGTTAAGATATATCGCCCATATAAGGATTCAGTTATGCAAAATTATCAAAATATCGTTATAAGGATCATAATAATGATTATTGTGATCCGAATTATACAGTTTTATTTGCGGCATCAATTAAGATCCTTAAAAATTTATATTTGCATATTTGCAATGTACTTGCAAAATGTTGGATATTGTCTTCTATGAATACACCTTTTTAGTAGTGACGTCACATACGTCAAATAATAGGCAACCCCATTGTGACAGTGTCCCAATATTTTTACTAGATCGATTTTCGACCTTATGTTCTTTGGACATAAGTCTCAAAATAATGGCTTCTTTGTCATGACCTTAAATATCGCGATATTCTGGCAATATTAGAAATATTTAAGAAGTTTCAAACCCCAGTGACAAGCTAAAAGAATTATAGAATTCGCATATTTAAATTTATAATAATTAATAAATTAAAATTATATCAATGTTACTGAGCATGCGCATTAAATATAATTTCATGTAAGCGAAGTAGCCTGGCAACAGGATATCATTCAAGGAATGTTTGGTTATGGTTAACGGTAAGTCTATAATAAACCACTTGAAGAAAAAAATACTTGATAAACCCACTGACACAGCGCAACACCAAGAAAAACAATAAAAATACTTAGTAGAACTAGAAAATGACAAGATTAAAGAAAAGAAGAGAAAATACGCTAATGATGACAGCGATGACATATCAACAAGATTTCATCTGCATATGAGGCTATTCCAAGCATGCGCATTAGGAATAACACGGTTAATGTTAAATTTTTACTTTATTTAAATTTAGGAATATTCTTTTATATAGTTTTTTGTAAATTTTAAGCACATTAGTGTATTTATTGTTCTTAAATACTTCTAAGCCTTGTAGAAATAAATTCATTTGAAGTTGTTCTTTTTTATAGTATCTAACTTTGATCGACTATAACAGAGCTCTCCTAATTGACGGATTAGAATTTTTCAAAAAGCGTTTGAAAGCTTGAGAGCCCTTCTATATGTGATTAAATTTTCAAGTGTCTAAGGGCCTTGGTTTTTGCTGTGCAAAATTTTGAAAATTTGCAATTTTTTTTTCAAAATCTGGATTGCAAAATAATTATGCAAAATCTATCGAACCGATTTTGATGAAATTTGGTGTGACGATTCTACATAACATGAAGTTTTCTTGAGCCAAGTATGAAGGTCCTATACCCAATTTAAAGGCCCCAAAAAAATCCCCTAAAAAAAAGTAATGTTTTTAAACCCCATTGTTGTCGACTTTTTGATTTTTACAATAATAATCATTCATTCGATTTGTAACTAGTCATATTTTGTAAAAAATTTCATTACAATCATTTTTTTCCTCTTCCATTTTCGCCTAAAATCAACTCTTGAAAAAATACATAATTAAGTAGGAAGAAAAATATGACATTTTTCGAGTTTTTTTAACATATTGCGCCGCCAAAAGTTAAGCCCACGTTTTTTATGTGCATACAAAAATTTCCATTTCTAGTGATATTTGAAAGCCAAAAAGCCAAAAATCTCCGTGGATATACGATTCACCCAAACCAAAACAGATACCGCCTAGTCTATTTATGTCCACAGCTGTTAGAGCTAATGGGAATTAGAAGAAATTGACAGGTTTTAGCCCCAGAACTTTCACTTTATTGTCGAAAGCTTCTGAAAAAAGATTAAATGCAAAGAATACGTATATCGACATTAAAAAAGTTTTAAAATTTACATTTTAGAAAATATGTGGAAGTTTCTAACAGTACCTATTAATTTATTTTTACATTTCCATAAAGAAATCCTCCCCTACAGGCCCCTAAAAGACGCCCCTGAAAATCGATTTTTCTTAAATAACTTTTAAAATACTTTATGTAATTAATTATTTTTTAATACGATGGACAACAGATAAGACTCCTTAAAAATTGACCAATGAAAACAATTTGGCTTATTTGATTTGCCAGGGACGAAGTATCTGGTAGCATAATAATGTCAATTTTTTACACCCTTTATGATAAAGACACAAAAATAACATTTTTAGATAGCTTGAACCTTAAACTAAAAAAGGCATTCTTGGTTGGTACCGAGAAAAAACTTTTTTGTTTAATATGATTTTTAAAGAGAAATAAGCCGATGAAATTTGCATTCTTTCTGTGCCTATTTAAAAATATGCTACTTTGATTTACATCTGTTTTTTACCCTGTTCTATACCCTAATTAAAAATATACAGGGTGTTTTCAAATGAAGTAACGGAAATGGTTAATTAATGACAGAAATTAGTATTACGCCTACTTAAATATTTCCTTGTTGCAATCGTTCGAGTTTTAAAGCAAAAAATTGAGAGAGAAAAGTGTTAAATTAAACCAAGCTAGATAATACGTATTTTTGAATATTCAATTTTTGTCAAACAAAAAAGTTGTAGAAAGAAATAACTTAGGGGATGTTTATTTCAACCCCCTCCAAGGGGCAGACATTTTCGGAAAATTGTTGAAAGTTGCACATGCATTATTTGAAAATTGTAAAATTTGACTATTATATCTTTTTTGGTTTTCAAATTACAGCCATTATTCCATATTTTTTTGGAAACTTTGCGAGGCTGTATCTCCTAATAGGTTAACATTTTCACGTCATTTTTATACAAAACGTGTTCTTTTTAGTTGTAGATTCACCGGTACCGTTTGTACTACTTCTTTTAAAAACACCCTGTATAAGAAGCTCAAAGTAAAAGTAAAGGCATCACAAAAATATGGATTTTTTTAATACCGACTTTATTTCGGTACATAAACTTAAATTCAGTAAAAATATTTCTTGATATTCCCGGATCCATATAATGTTAATAATGAAAATTCCTAGATTTTGTAGACTGACGTACATCCTAAATTTTAATAGTAACGTCCCCTGCTATTTAAAAAGTTGGAGTAGTTGTCAAGTAGACGCTGACATCAGGGATCGAACTTTCACATGTTTCGATTAAATAAAAAATAGATCTGTGACAACGTCTTTCTTCAATTATAAATAAATATCTCACAAAACACTTAATTTTGACCTTCCCTGTGTCAGAAATCAAGCATTTAATTTTGAAATTCCTTGATCACCACAAATTTGTCATTCGGCTGAATTGAAAATTTATTCCCTAACCCAATTGTAATAATACTATTTAATGAAAAAATTTCCGCAAATAGTAAGAGGAAAACTACAGACCAGGCCTCCACAAAAGACCCAACGGGGGATCCTCGCTACCTTCCGAGAACCCACTTTGCGAAAATTCGATTGTCGATTGGATTCGACAGTCAACGCTCCTGGGTCAACAATGCGATTCCGAATAATCGGTCGCTTTTTCCCCCTATCACGAATTAATCGTCGGGCGAAAATTTCTGCGTGTGACCTTAGAAAAAATAGTGGGAGCGTGTGCCCAACAGCCGGATTGCCGATATATAATAGCTCAAAGGTTATCTCGACTGATTTGATACCGGTGTACCCTTACTCGATAGATTAAGACGACCTTTACTCGGTCCACCTGTAAGATGTTTGTTTATTATTGCCTGTTGGTAGTCGGTTTCTGTGCGGTGGTAATGGGCGGGCCCATGGAGCTTAGGAAGAACGAAGAAGAGGGTGAGTACGAAACACAGATTTTTTTATTTACTTTTTAAGAACCAGGATTTAATTTTCTTTGTTTTCACTACATGTAACGAAAAAATATTATGTAATACCAAAGACAAATGTAACATTAGCACAGTTTTTCACACATTTTTCAAAAAAATAACTTTGGCAGAATAATAATTTTGGCAGAAGGAATTGCTTGATTAATTTTTTTAATTTTTTGACAAAATACCCAAAAAACTTCAAAGTTCAGCAACTGTGTCTTTCGCCTAGTTTTGAACATAAATCTTATGTTAATCTATTAATTTATAAAGAATTTAAGCTTAAAAAACCAAATACTACGAAAATTATACCAAACGAAATGAACACATTTTAAATGTTAAAAAGTATTTTGTATAAAATATTCCCAGCTACTTTAGTTGTTCTTTTTCCTGTAATTTGAATAAATTGTTATACAAAGTTTTCTGATCAAATACTAATCGCCTAACTTTTTTATTTATTAATAGATTTTAACGAACTTCTTGAAAGCTTGACCTCGTGAAAGCACGCCAACGACATGCCCCATCCACTTTATAATTCAAAGCCATGGCCAGCTACGACCATTCCTTTTTATGCAATAATTACATTTAGGGAATATTTCAGACGAAACAAACCGACGGATTTTTTATTCAGGGCTGTTTGAAACATAAATTTAAATACTTCCCGGGTGTTGAACGTTTACAAGAAATAATTTTCGACTGAAAAATGCAAAAATTGGTATATTTGTGCCTTAAGTTAGATTGGAATTTTCTAATAATACTTTTATAATTTTTGTGCTAGAAAAATCAGTAGGCTATGACTTTGAATTAAAAATGGACAGGGCTCTGACGATAATTGCTGATAAATTCGGAAACATTTTTCTGTAAAAAAAATTACCTGAATTTTTCTACACTCCGGAAAGTAGTACACGATTGTGGTAATTTAAATTCTATAGAAATAAATCTTAAAAATTTTGGTACAACAACAATTTTTACCCGGCAGCTCACAATTAACTCTGAAAGTTAATTGTGTGGAAGAAAGGACGGTTATTATTACTCATATCGCTATCTTTCACATAATTTAGATCGTTTTGTCTAATTCGATGTTGATATTAAATTAATAAAAAATGGCAAACTTAAAAATTCTTCTTAAAAGTCCCAACAATAACAATCTCGTCGAAATAAGGATATATTCGACATATCGCGAATTCCTCGAGTTGAAGTCTGTTGCCATATCTGTGGAATCGGCATCCTGCTTAACGGATTCTTCACAGTGTGTACACGCAAATTAAATTTCTCAGCTTCCATATATAATCCTGAATGAAAGGATGTGATGATTTGCACACTCCTGTACGCTTTCGCAAAAACCCAATTTTTTTTTATAAACACTTATGTAACTGGTGTGAAAAAAGTTTACGCTCTCTACATGTTGGTAACCCAGCAACGTTTAGCCTAAAATTAAACAATAATCACAATGGGATGAATAAAAATATTTGCAAATTTAAAATTTCGAGTTTGACCAAATCGAAGGAACGCCCTGTATAGATACCCTAAATTTTAAGACAAGGAACTACAGCGAATGTTGAAAAAGGCGAAATCAATCGGCTCCACCCTATGTACCGATTATTCAAACAAGGCAACGCCTGTTTTATATCTATTTAAATTACATTTTGCTTTCGAATGGTTTAGAATTTGGGTTACACCTGATGTTTGGCATGAAAAATTCCATAATTAATGACTATCTTCAAACAAATCTCTCTCAAATGAAAATTGAACTCTTAGTCCATATTTATCAGTTTAGTAATTGCGAATATTTTGATTATAAAGCCAAAAAAATACCCATGAAACTACAATGGGAATACATTATCGAACATCAAACTTCCATAATTGACATTTCGATCACAAAATACCTTAAAAATCACGGTCACTGGTCAGCTATGTTATCTCAGTTCTCTATTTCAATGCCAAACCAACAAAAAGAAAGCCAAAACAAATCACTTGCAAAACTAGTTCTAGCCGCCTTTGTTTTTATATATCTTTACCAAATTCAGTATAATGAATTTCTTTTACTTCCGTTATTGCGAGATCCGTATATGCAATAAATCGTAAAGTCGTAAAACCTATAATTTCAAGTACCCCTCAGGGACTTGCTCTTGGCCCTATGCCCTTTAATACTATTACAAACGACAACAATATTGCCAGAACGTTTTCAATTTTTTCTGTAGTTTATAACTTTAACCAATTAAAGAAAAAAAGGTTATTGAACAATTCTGCCTCATATGTGATCGTTATATTTCCTGGTTATTGTGTTACAATTTCAATAATTTCAGTTTCATTGCTTCGAGGTTCGCTCAATTAAAGGTATTGCTTAAGCACAATCAAGGTTATGCATGAAATTATATTATTAAAATCATTTAAGGATAAAACTAGTTCATTTCTACTAAATAGGTATATGTTGCAACTTAACGGTTGCTTTGTAATTTTCCTGTTAAACAAATTAACAACAAACGTGTTCTTGTTTACCATGCAAACCATATAGGAACAATTTTTGTTAAAATAAACGAATTTAATTTCCAAATAACTGACAGCGATATAGAATCATTAAAAAGGCTATATTTATTTTCATAACCATTATAGACACTAATTGCTACTTACATAATTAGAAAATTCGTGTCATTTTTTTAATCACTTCGTTTGTTCGCGGTTTTGAATTTAATTTTTTGTATGAGCTTGAAATACCAAATAATTAAATCATAAAAACTTTATTAGGTGCAATATTTTTCTTCCCGCTTTGTTTAAACTCAACAAAAAGTCTGATTATACAGTTCCCGCGTGTATGTTTCGTAATAGATCTTTTAATATACAGGGTGTTAAGATATTATTGGGAGATTAATATGTTCTACGTTTTAGACGACGAAATCTCTCCATATCCCAATAGGATAGTAAGGAACAAGACCCTGGAAGAAATGGATGAAGAAAACGACCATAAATTTTGGAGGAACAATGCCGCGAAAGCCGTCAAAGAAAGATTGGACAGAAGAATTAATCAAAGTGAGTGTCAAGCATTAAATATACCAAATACTTTGAAGGAATGAATGAAATGGTTATGTCTTACTTATCTACTTAATTTTGATTTTATTTTATAAAAAATGTTGTTTTTTTCATATCCAGACAGGGCTAAAAATGTGATATTATTCCTTGGTGATGGGATGTCGATTCCTACGATAGCCGCAGCCAGGGTATATTTAGGTGGAGAAGAAGAACAACTCACTTTCGAGAAATTCCCCTATACCGGTTTTTCAAAGGTAAAAACAAATAACTTCTGTTTAAAATTAGTATTTTTAATTAAGTTTAAATAATAATATGCCGCCCCTTCCTCACACAACTCTCCAACTTCTGGCCTAATCCTTGCGATTATAATCATTTTTGTGGACTGGCAAAGCGTTCGATTTAAAAAATCTGTTCAGTAGCGTAAATATACAATTTCAAACAATAGAATTCTTACGAACACACCCATGTCGACTGCTAATATTAAATATCAATCCACTACCCATTTGTGCGGGACATTAATGTCGTTCGACACTTATTCCATTCACATTTGGACATAATTTGCAATAAAACATAACGACTCTCGTATTATATATGGACTCTGACGTCGATTAAAAATAAAATAAATATTCATTCCTATTAGGAATTATGAATTCGTTCATAAAAAAGTAACCGCAATAAATTAGCCACTGTTTACGCTTTTCAAACGCATTTAAAATCATATTACAACCCATATCGACCGCAAACAATTAAGTTGGATTAAGAAAAGGATTAGTTGGAGGACATTTTACCACTAAAAAACGATTGCAATATGTTTAATTCTATTTTAATAATTAAGAAACAGGTTAAAGAACAACATTGCCTCACTTGGAATGGTTTCAAAACGTATACAGGGTGATTCAGAACTTATCCAAAAAAAATTTTTGAATATACTTTTACAAATACAATTTTGCAAAAAAAATCAGAAAGGGCATTTCGAAAATGATATAAAAATACACTTCTGCACGGCACTGGAAACTGGTTCACCATAACACAAACGTTGCCTTGCTTCACCATAAACTAAAACGATATCCATCAACTCCGAGTTGCTATACACGCAAGCCATTTTTGATACTTGAAAAACTAATGTAAACACTATCGCAACAACGATAATACTAAAATCGGATTTCAGTATTTGGAATCGCCTGAGGCCACGTGGGTGAATGACGCTACAGACTGCAGTAGGCCAGCGATGTGAAAGTTGAAAATACTACAATTTTTTTTCTCGGAAACTAAAAGGATTTTATTTTTTTTTACATTGATTCCATTTTTGATAACGCATCTATTCCCATTTTTTTCTGGATAAGTTGTGAATCACCTTGTATTTGTAGTGAGTAATAATTTATAAAGACACAACTTTTCTGCAGACATACTGCGTGGACCACCAAACAGCCGATTCGGCATGCTCCGCCACTGCGTACCTTGGAGGGGTGAAAGCTAATCTTGGAACAATCGGTGTATCGGCAGCAGTGGCAAAGAAGAACTGCACGGCTATGAACGAACCCGACAACCGCGTGGATTCCATAGCCAGACTATTCCAACTCAAAGGAAAGCGTACTGGGTTGGTGACCACCACGAGAGTGACCCACGCTTCCCCAGCAGGTACGAGTGAAGATGAAGTAAACACGATAATAACTCAATTCGAACTATATTCGTTTCTAGGAGTCTACGCGCACACAGCTGACAGACATTGGGAATCTGACACCAACGTCATCAAGGCGGGATGGAGTCCATCGGAGTGCCACGACATAGCCAGCCAGCTCATCTTCGGGGAAACAGGTAAAGAACTGAACGTTATCATGGGGGGTGGGAGGAAGAAGTTCCTGCCGGTGGAAGTAAACGATGAAGATGGATATCCAGGTGATAGGTCGGACCATGTGAACCTCATCGAGGAGTGGAAGAGGCAAAAGGAAGCCATGGGGGTGAGGTACGAGTATGTGTGGAACAGAGAGCAGCTGTTGAACGTCGCAGATGACACAGACTACCTTCTAGGTTAGTAATTTACCAATTCCCTATCCCGTAGCTATGACCTTTCTATCCAGTTATTTCCATCCATCCATCCATAAGGTGTCATAGAAAGTAGGATTTTCTTCTTGTATATGTTCATCAAATGGAAAATAATAAAAAGTGGAAAATTGGAAATTGTAAGAAGACATTCCATTCTTTGGTTCTAATATTGTTGACTTCTTGGAAGGTTTTCATTTAGATACTTGCCAAAGCTAGAGGTAAGGGTGAACTCATAGCTTCCCCTTCAGTTTTTTCATAAAGGAAAAGAATATCCATCTAGTGCAAACCTTTACCAAGTCATTTATCAATTTATTTTTACGCCCACAAACGCCAGTTAAAAGGAACCCCCACTTCCAATGACACCTGTATTTTTTCAATATACACGCAATCTAAAGCCTCAAAATACTATATTTCTTATTAGGCCTCTTCGAAAGCGGTCACATGAAGTACAACATAGACCGAAACGCCGATACCCAACCGTCCCTGGAAGAGATGACGGAATCGGCGATCAAGATCCTCCAGCAAGGCGACGAAGGCTTCTTCCTCTTCATCGAGGGAGGCAGGATCGACACGGCCCACCACGACAGCTCGGCGCACAAGGCTCTGGACGAAACCGCCGAGTTTTCGAAAGCGATCCAGAAGGCCGTGGAGATCACCAACGAGGAGGACACCTTGATTGTTGTGACCTCCGACCACGCTCACACCATGAGTTACGCGGGATACGCACAGAGGGGAAGTGACGTGTTCGGATTCGCTGGAAGGGCAAGTGATTCCAACCCTTATACCATCCTGAATTACGCCAATGGGCCTGGGTATAAGTCCATGGCGGATGGAGGAAGATATGTTCCGTCGGAAGAAGAAATGAGTAAGTCTGTGATTTGATTAGTCAATGATTTTGGAAGAGGTAACAAATCGTCTGCAACTTTTTCGATCGTGACTGTTAAAATACAAAACAAAAAAGACAAAGCTGAAATATTTTCAAAAAATTCATTTAATAGAATAGGTCTAGCACAACCTCAATTGAGAAATAATAAAATAATATTGACATAAATCTCTAAATATCTTTGGAACTAATGAAAATATTGAATTCAAATTTTGTTTACACAACATATGAACAAAATGGCCTTTAACCAATGGCCTAGACATGAGATAGGATGTGTATATTTTCGTCAAATAAAAAAATATTCAGACGATATTTAAAAGCAAAGCACTTCCTTTTGAAAACAATGTATCTCAAAAACAAAGGTTCTGGTGACAAATGTTTCTTTAAAAAAATAATTATTAAATTTGAATTAGGATTGAGAAATGGACTCTTTCCTTTTTTACATACTGTTGTGTACATTGTAACGTATTTTTTATTTCCGAATAAGTTTTGTTTCAAACAAACAATTAAGCACGTATTATGACATGTTATGTTACGCCTCAAGAATAGTCTATATGCGTCAATGTCACACTTTTTTAATTATTTAGTTATGGAAATCTTGGTACTTAAATATTTCTCTTTTCTCGTTTTTGCATACACTAATTACAAGGAATGTGTGAATATAATAAATTATGTAACTAGTGAAATATTTTTTCTCAACATAGATATTTGCAATAATATTTAAGTATATTTGCAAGTTTAAAGTTGTTAACATAAAATATATTAGAATTCAATGTAAATAACATATTTGCCATGGATATCCTGCATAACTTTTGATAAAATATTCATTAAATGGGTTAATTTCTTTAACATACAAATGCAATTTTTTTGCCACACGAAATTCAGCCAGGATGACACAGCTACCTTTTCTGCATTTTCTATCTAGATTAATTAGGGGCATCGCATTTTTGGTATTATTTAGTACCCATTTAGAGTAGCTTTTAACAATTTTTTCAAATTTTTATAACAAGAGGTATGAGCATTTGAATATTTTGAGTAAAAATTGTCAAATATCTGTACTTAACCAAAAACTAAAAATCTCAATTTTTTTACTTTCATTTTGTTCGTTTTGACCTAAAAAAATATATAAAATCAATACATTTTTAGTTTTTTGAGTTTTTTTTTTTCGAAAAATTCTCAGAAAAATCGTCTTTCAATATGCAAATTTATGAGACAAGTTCTAGAATGGAATGGATTTCTTTTTATTTATTTCAGCATAAAAAATTGATGAATACATATAGTATAAAATTGAAATTTCTAACGAGAGTGTTGTTTATTTATTGGCGCTATTTATCCAAGTTTAGGTTGTTTCAGTTTTTTTTTTAAGTGAAATAGCTGGATAAAACTTTTTATACGTTAGTTTGAAGATAATAAAAATAACTACATTTTGACGCGAAAAAGGGGTTCGATATCTTTTTTTGTTATCAAATTATTCGCAAATTATTGGGCAAAAAATAAATAATGATAACGAATTGAGGAAATTAACGAAAAGATATTTAATTACCAAAACAAAATGCGTTTATAAAAGAACCTACCTAAACACGCAGCGAAGATTAAATTCCTACATTGGGCATAATGGTATGCATTTTGAGCATTTATAAACATCTTTACTTTTGTTTAATTAATTAAATTTAATTGTTCTTTCTTTACATAATATCAATGTCTGTTTGTTATTGTTTTTGTTATTATTTTCAAGATTGTTATTGACTCACTCATTTGCGTTTCTGAGAAAAATTCAACTCTATGTTTTGGTATTTATTTATTTTTATTTATTTATTTTATTTATTTAAGTTACATCACCTGACAGTTATGTAGATAGCGCCCCCTAGCGGCCTAGCTACGAACTTGAAAACTATTTCCAGCGATTTCCCTTTGTTGATTTATTATCAAAAATTATAATACAAGAGGCGTCTCGTCTCGTGGGTCATGAAAAAAGTAAGCGTCATTGTTTTTTTATCAACAAATATTTTTTTTTCAAATTTAGTTGTATATAATTGTTAACAAATAAAAGGCATTTTTCAAAAGTTAAAAACCGCTAAGTTATTTTATTTGTTAACAATTATATACAACTAAATTTGAAAAAAAAAATATATTTTTTTAACTAGAGGATACTTGGTGTCCCTTCGAAGAAAATGAGCTCAAAAATAATGTTTTAGTCATAACCCTGTCCCCGGAATAGTCATTTGAAAATGGGCCTTTTTTGCAAAAATGGGATAAATAAAAAGAATTTTGCAAAAACTATTTGACCCAACGAGCCCATCTTTCGCACGTCTCTTAAGGATATAAAAACTCACATTTTGGGAAAGTTTGTAAGATTTTATTAATTATTTAAAAAGTTATTAACGAATAAAGAAAAAGCACTTTTCCGTTTAATTTTACAATAAATTTTTTGTTTATAAAGCAGTTTTAACTTATAAAGTCTGAACATTTTTTGCTAAGATAAATAGTTTTTTTACAATAACGCGTAGAACGAAAATTGACGAATTTTTTACCTATTTGTTGATAAAAAACAATGACGCTTACTTTTTTCATGACCCACGTGATGAGGCGCCTCGTGTATTATCATTCCCAAGACTTTCCAACAACAAATCACGCCTAGTAATTAATAAATTTCATAATGTTTCCTTTCCTAGTCTATTTCTCCAATATCGTATCTCGCCGACCTTAGTAGGACTAAATTATTATTAACTAAATTTTCCGATTTTTTTTCAATATTAAATAGTCTGTTTCGCATAATGCCATTATCTTCAAAAAAAATTAATTCAAAAAAATAGAATAAATAAGATCCCACCCTAAAACCTGTCTTATAACTTATCGAACTGAAAGACGATTTTTTTGAGAATTGAGAATATCAAAGAAAAAAAAAGCTTTTTCAAAAAGCACTTATTTGTTCAAAAAAACTGAAAAAATGAAAATGTATTATTTTTATAATTTGTTTATAAAAACTACATCTAAAAGCAAACAAAATTTTTAAAAAAATTGACATTTTTAGTTTTTGGGAAGTTACAGACAGGTAATTGAAAATTCTTCTACCAAAATATTGAAATGCTCATAACTTCTCGAGGGATTGAAATAAAAATTAGAAAAAATTCTTGAAAGCTACTCTAAATGGGTGATAAATAATACCAAAAAATCAGAAAAATTAAAAATTTGATTTTTGAAAGAAAATTTTGTAACATTAACTCTTATACTTTTAGAATTTAAATTTTTTTCTAAAATTCTTATCAAAAAAGAAGATATAGATACCATACGCTTAACATGATAACCTCCAAATTTCAGAAATAATTAACTGTGACATCGTGACCCATTGTTTTTTAATTTACAGTATCATTTAGAATAAAAAAAAAATCTTTCGTGTTCTAGACGAGGTAGGATTCAAGTGGCCCTCCACATCACCCCTCAAATCAGAGACCCACGGTGCCGATGACGTGGGAGTCTTCGCCAAGGGTCCCTGGGCTCATCTCTTCACGGGGGTCATGGAAGAAAACGTTATACCGCACTTAATAGCGTTTGCGTCTTGTGTCAGTAACGAAGCCGGATGCGAGAGTTATCAGAAGGAAGCGTAAAGAGGCAGATTTCAAGGCGAGGAGAATACGCAGCGAACCCTTAAGCCGACCGTACACGTTCAGTTCTTACTGGATTGTAAATAACCCGGAAAAAATATTTCTGCTTTAGAAAATACGTATCTCCTATAAGAAAAGGGATTTTTGAAATAGCGTTCGCTATTATAAAAGTAAATTTTAAAAAATCGTTCGCAGTCAGTGATTACAGATTTTAAAACATTAAGTAAGAGCTGTAGACAACAAAAGGCGTCCTTTATAAAACAGGGTTTTATTAGTTTATTACTTTCTTTAAATCTCTTTGTTAAAACAATTATTTTTAGGTAGGCCACAAGCGTATGATTATTGCTAAGATCGTAGGATAAATGTTTCAATAACGTGTGTGGCCACCTTTATCTTCTTTGCGTCGACACGATATACGATTTTTTTTTTATGAAGAGCTCTCAGGTATTTTTATATATCACCACGTAATTTTAAAAAATTCATGAAGTGCTTTTTGCAGAAACATCAAACGACGAGCAGTAAGATGCTTCGAAACGAGATTATATTTTTTTTATACATAGACGGTTATGATCCGACAAATGTCTTGCTATTTTTTTTTCTCTCGAATACTTCGATTAATAATTTATTTATTGATATCACTGTAAAATAGACAGCAGTTGTTTTCGAAGACCGGTGATGCTTATTGTTTTTCTTTTGTCCGTGAAATTGTTCCGGTTGATTTCCGTGTGAAACAACGCTAAAAGTAATAGGAACACCGCGGTGGTTCCCCAAAAGAGTTATATGAATAAGACTTCACGCACTGCGTTTTTTTCCAATCGAATCCTGTTTACATGTGCGTAACAGTGCGTGTATCCTATTCACGATAACTATAAATGTGCCAGTTGATAAAATTTCCGTTTAAAATAATTCATTTACCGAAGTCTTTCTTCCTTGATTGTATTTGTCCAAAGTACATTTCCGATAATTCATGTTGTAAATATACTTCATCCTCATCGCGGTATTTGGCTCAGAAAGTCAATTAGCTGTGTGGGGAAGGGACGATGTATTATTATCCTGTAAGACGCGGTGACAAGAAAAACCAAAAAGTAGTGCTTAGAAATATGATTAATATTTGAAATACCAGTTACTTTGATTCTAGTTTAATGAAACATGTGATATGCAATCAGTTGTAGTGAGAATAGTTAATATTAAATGTTTTTATTAGTTCTGTTTATTTTTTTTTTTTTAGAAAAATTGTCCTTTTTTCTTTATCTTTATTTATTCGTAGTTCTAAATAAGTGTCCTAGATTTATATGTAAAGTTATGTTAAATAGAAACAGTTGAAATAAATAAAAATGTATGTCAAGAACAAGTTTATTTTTTTTTAATTGAAAGAATTGGTAACTCCTTGAAATCTTTGTGGGTTTTCTTTCCACGGACAAAAGAATAGACCAAAAAATGTCAGATCAACTCTCAATGCACTTGGCTTTTTGAAAACTTCGAAAATGTCGCTATTGAAATCCAGCTCCACGACTCCTCGTGTCTATGACTTCCTACGCCTACTTAGAAATGGAAATAAATTATCAAAATTATCGTAATTTGCATTTTGTATGCGGAACTGATTTGCATTTGCATCCTACAGGGTGGAAACAGAAAAATCGTACCAAGAATTAAAGCTATTATGTTTGAACTAATGGTAATATGGGAACAACCACGCCAACATTGAATTGAACATCTATCAAGGGACATTTTTGGTTTAGTACAACCATGCAACTAGAATAAACAAAATATTTAACCCCAAAATCTATAACAGGGTAATTCATATATACAAGATATAACGACGGTAATATAAAAAGATTAAAAGTATTTCCCAAAACGTTGTACAATTTTACATAAAAAAAAAACTGGCCACTGAAAAAAAAAGTAAATGGAATTATTTGCATAAATGTTATTTTATTATATTCAAACTTTCGTCAAACTATGTGAAATATTTGCTATAATCTATCATTTTTCTTAGTATTTATATTATTTTTAAATGTATATAATTTAATTCAAATCTTTTATAGTTTTGAAATTTATTATCTCGGACTT